TACACGCGGAATTGCGCGAGAAAATTCGATCTAACGAATTTTTTTTTTTTGATGCATTATTTATGATCGCCAGTGTACTACTATCAATTTTTAGCTCATCTAAACTTAAGAGCTTCTCAGCAAAGAAGGCCCAAAACTGAAGGATTTCGGGTAGATGTTTCCCATATTAACGGATAATGAAGGTTATAACTCTTTTCGAAAGCATTTTCGTATTACCCATGCTACTTTTAGCGCAATTGTTTCAAGATTGAAAGCCACCCTGCCTTTAGTGCAACTGCACCTAATGCGACTCCCGTGGAAACAAATTGCTATTGTATTGTGGCGTTTGTCAAATGAAACAGGAATAAGTATATTAGAACAAACTCTAGGGGATCAGTTAGCAATTTTACAGATTGATTTTTAGAGCATTATTAGACTTTGAATCCGACAGAATTGCATGACCACAAGGAGCAAGATTAGCACCTGTAATTCAGGGACTTAAGCATGAAGAGATAGGGCTAGAAAATAAAAAATTGCCAAACTATGGGATTCCAATTCATCCTTTTTCTAAAAATAGGGGATGTCTAAAGCAGAGTAGATTTTTATTATAGATTAAGGCTAGGACAGGTTATATATGCAAAATTGACCTTTTATTATTTTTACTTAATTTATCCAAGATAGGTTTATACTATTTTTTCAAGTTTTTTGTTTTTTTTTTGGTTTGCTTTGCCAGTAATCATTAAAATTATATAATTTAATTGGTTGTGTATTATATAATTCTGCTTCACTTTAGAATTTTCTCTAGGGTGTTTAGGATTATGCAATACAATAAAGTAAATTATGTATATAATCAAGATCAAGCTATGCAATGGATTTGAATTATATAATTTCTTATTTAAATTTTGCTAATTATGCAAAATTTTTGAAATATTTTGAACTTTCTGTATTGGAAATTTTTGGAATTATTATCTGTTAATTACTTTATGTCTTTTTTTTCTAATTGCATAAAGTATACACAATACAAAAATTCGGTAAATTGTATATATTATGTTTTTGTATAATTCTGGATATTTTACCAATATTTTACCAAAATTTTTACTGGCACATAACAGTGTGGTGTATTATTATCAATGTAATCCTGATTTGTTTTAATAATAGTATAAAACTATTTTTAAAACATAAACTAATATTGATTAATTTGTGTAAACTTTGAATTATTTGAATTAGTTCAAATTGTTGCAAAATATTTAAATTTTTAAAACAATATTTATTGTAAATTTAATTATATCCTATTTATAGTAAACTTTTTGGCTGATTTTACGGAATTTTAATTTTATTATAAATACTTAATATTTAAATTATACTTATTCCAAAATAATTTAAAGTAATTTAATTTAAATATTTTATAATCAAATATATTTGATTTATTCAAATAATTTAAATAAACTTTTCACTACTACTAAGCATAATAAAACTTTATTAAAACTTAAGAGTAGAAGATACTATTTTAAAATTATATATAAACTTAATAGTAGATTTTTTTATATTTAATTTTATAAAAAATTGTATTAAGTAAACTAATTTTAATTCTTAAGAAAAGCTTGTAGAGTGGGTTTTTTCGATTCTAATGGTAGTAAAATTATTAAAATTGTTTAAAAACTCAGTGAGATATAAATTTTTAAAGATTAGGTATAAAAATTATCAACAAAATTAATATATAGACTAGCCAACCAAATTTGGCAATTTTGTATTTTTTTTAAATAATATAATAATTCAAAATTTTACTATAATAAATAAATTATTTTATTTATATTTTATAAAATTTTGGCTAAAATTAATTACAAATATATCAACAAAATATACAAATGTAATCTTATGTAAGATATTACAGCTTGTAATATTGTATGAGAATTACAGTCTGGGCAAAATATTGTGCAATTTATTATATAATATTACACAATATATTACAGAATATTACACAATTTATTATAGAATATTACACAATTTATTACAGAATATTATGCAATTTATTGCAGAATATTGTGTAATTTATTACAAAATATTATACAAAATAATTTTTTTTTTTTTTAACAGTTTGGCAGTCTTGCCTTTACTTTATTAGGCTTTATAATATTATACTGTGAAATATTAAAATTTTTGAAGGGTATAAACCCTAATACCATCTAAATTACAAGTATTAGCTCACCCAGCTCTTTGTAACCAGAGTTCAAATTACCCATGTGTAACTTGCTATAGAAAGAATTTTTCTTCAAAATATTTTCTTTTGCACTTGAAAAGAATAGATCTTCACCAAAAGGTTTCTACTGGCTTGTTAAGACTACCTATTCTTTCTTCTAAACTTTTCCACCTAGATCCAGATAGAATAGTTTATCTCTTACTTTTTCATAAAGGAAGAAAAAATATACCACATCTATGAAAGAAAACAAAACTATCTAGAAAAAGAAAGAGAAAAAAAAAAAAAAAAAAACATTTAACTGAAAAAAGAGGTCCTAAATATAGTTTCATTATAATAGAAAAAAGATAAAAAAAGCAAAAATAAAGACATAGAAGTCCTGATGAACCACCTTAAAAAAAACAAACAAAAAAAACAAAAAGAAAAGAAATACACTATTATAACCCATGTCAGGTATAAAAGTAAAAATTATATACTAATTGCAACTAATTAATATATCTCGGCTATAAAGCTTCACTTTAACATTGAAACTTATTCCAGACATGTTACCAGGGTCAAGTATCTCCTAAATGAGGTTATCAATCTTATCCAATTAGGTAAATATAAACAATGCTAATCTTTTAGAGAGGGTAAGCTGAAATGCCCACTTTTTGTCAAAATTTTTTGGTAAGGTCAGCAAAATACAAGAGAAAGAAAAAATACTTAAAACCACCAAAAAAGCATAGGTTTTCTTTTACTAGAATCAACTATCCACTGGAGCCTATACAGTACTAAGTTTTTTGATAAGTAATAAACTCTAAACTTGTCAGCAAATAGCATATGAGAACTACTTCTAATGACAAGTGCTGTGTCTGCAATCAGTGAGTAATAAACTCTGAGGCTGTTAGCAAATAGCATATGAGAACTACCTCTAAATAACAGCTGCTAACTTATAGTTTCTTTTCCCATGTCTTATATGCTAGTGTACTGTTTTTTTTTCTAGTAAAAAGTTTTTTAAAAATTGCAGTCCAAATGATCGTCAATTATACAAAATAATTTAAAATATTTTGTAATATATAATTTAATAAAGTAAATTTATTATTATAGTATTTATTATTATTACAGTATCTATGTATATATTTATTTATTACAATCTATAAATTTTATTTATTTATTTTAAATAATATTACAAAGCAAATATTTCACCATAATAACCTCATTCTAACTATTACCTAATTGCTAATCTACTAATTCTATTCTAACTATTACCCTAATTAGGTATATTAATGCTTAAAACCAGAAGCTTAATTCTAAAAACAATTGAAACTTACTTGAAAAAAAGAAATTGGTATTAGTTAAACACAAAGAAAATGAAATCAACACCCAAAACTAGAAGCCTGTTTTTAATAATCAAAGGAATAAGTATTAGTCAAGCATGAAGAAAATAAAATCAATGCTCAAAACCAGAAGCTTAATTGAAACTCATCTGAAAAAATAAAGTGGGCATTAGTCAAACATGAAGAAAACAAAATCAATACTCAAAACTGGAAGACTAATTCCAATAATTAAAGAAATGAGCATTAGTCAAATATAAAGAAAATAAAACCAATGTTCAAAACTGGAAGCTTAATTCCAAACCAATTAAAAAAAAATGAAGTGGGCATTAGTCAACCACAAAGAAAATGAAAACAATGCCCAAAATCAGAAGCCTGATTCTATTGATTAAAAGAATAAGCATTAGTCAAACATAAAGAAAATAAAATTATGCCCAAAACTAGAAGCTTAATTCCAAACTGATCGAAACTAACCTGAAAAAATAAAGTAGGCATTAGTTAAAGAAAATAAATCAACGCTCAAAATCAAAAGCCTAATTTTATTGATTAAAGTATGGTGTTAGTCAAACATGAAAAAAATAAAATCAATGCCCAAAACCAGAAGCTTAATTTCAAACTAATCGAAACTTATCTAAAAAAAAGAAATTAGTATTAGTAAAACACAAAGAAAACAAAGCCTGATTCCAATGATCAAAGAAATAAATATTAGTCAAGCATGAAGAAAACGAAATCAACACCCAAAACCAAAAGCTTAATTCCAAACCAATTGAAACTCACTTGAAAAAAAGAAATTAGCATTAGTTAAATACAAAGAAAACAAAGCCTGATTCCAATAATCAAAGAAATGAGTGTTAGTCAAGCACAAAGAAAACGAAATCAATACCCAAAACCAGAAGCTTAATTCCAAACCAATTAAAAAAAATGAAGAGAGCATTAGTCAAACATGAAGAAAACAAAATCAATACCCAAAACTGGATAACTAATTCTAATGATCAAAGAAATGAGTATTAGTCAAGTACAAAAAAAATAAAACCAATACCCAAAACCAGAAGCTTAATTCTAAACCAATTGAAACTAACCTAAAAAACAAAGTAGGCATTAGTCAAACACAAAGAAAACAAAATCAACACCCAAAATCAGAAGCCTGATTCTATTGATTAAAGGAATAAGCATTAGTTAAGCCCAAAACTGGAAGCTTAATTCCAAACTAATCAAAGCTCATCTGAAAAAGAAATTGGCATTAGTTAAATATGAAGAAAATGAAACCAATACCCAAAACTAAAAACTTAATTCCAAACTAATTGAAAAAAAATGAAGTAGACATTAGTTAAATATAAAGAAAATGAAATTAACACCCAAAACTAAAAGCCTGATTCCAATGATCAAAGGAATAAGTATTAGTCAAACATAAAAAAAACAAAACCAATACCCAAAACCAAAAGCTTAATTTCAAACTAATTGAAAAAAAAAGAAGTGGGCATTAGTTAAACATGAAGAAAACAAAATCAATACCCAAAACTAGAAGCCTGATTCTAATAATCAAAAGAATAAGCATTAGTCAAACACAAAGAAAATGAAACCAATACCCAAAACTGGAAGCTTAATTCTAAACCAATTGAAACTAACTTGAAAAAATGAAGTGAGCATTAGTCAAACATAAAAAAAACGAAATTAACACCCAAAATCGGAAGCCTGGTTCTATTGATTAAAGGAACAAGTATTAGTTAAATATGAAATTAGCATTAGTCAAACACAAAAAAAATGAAATCAATGCCAAAAACTGAAAGCCTGATTCTAATTATCAAAGAAATAAGTATTAGTCAAGCATAAAGAAAATGAAACCAATGCTCAAAACTGGAAAAAAAAATGAAGTAGGCATTAGTCAAATATGAAGAAAATGAAATCAATACCCAAAACTAGAAGCCTGATTCCATTAATCAAAGAAATGAGCATTAGTTAGATACAAAGAAAATGAAATCAACACCCAAACCCAGATGCCTGATTCCAAAACAAGTGAACTTAAAGTCAGATCCCTAATTCCAAAAAGAGTGAAACCCACTATGAACTAGCAAAAATCAAAAAGCACTAGTAATGATAATACTAGCAATAATCAAAAAGACTAAATAACCAAAAAGCAATAATAAAAAAAAAACTATATATATATATATCTGATATAGTAAATAAAAAAAAAAAACAGAGGTGTGGCGACTTAGTGAAGTGGTCTAGTTGTCACCCTCACCAAACGTTATGGGAAGATCCCATGTTCAAATCCCAGGGATGGCACTTTTGTAATGGGAAAAGTCTGTGACGATCTTCACTAAGGTTGGCCCATGGAGGATCTGTCGAGACGGTGTCAGGTGGCACTGTTGAGGTGATTCCGGAAGGCTGTAATCTGTGGGCTGTGCATAGCATGGGTTACAGGACCGGAGATCGAAGCCCGTTTGGGAAGTCCCGAGTTGGGAGGTAGTAGTGATCTTTGATGGTACTACATGAAGGCTGAATTTGAACCAGGGCCCGAGATTGGTAAACTAAGTGATCAGGTCCTTTAGTAGGGGGACATACCAGCTGAACCACCGGTTTAGATGCACTGGAAGAAAAGGCTATATGCTTCGAAAGTATGGACCAAGGGGAGGGCGTCCTTCAGGCATCTAAAGCCTGGGCAGACCAACCCGTCCGGGTTGCCAGCTGGAAGTAAGGGAGGGACCAATAGAGAATCCAGGTAAAAAGATGGTTAGAATGTAGGTACCGGGGTTGTTGTGAACCTTACAAGGGCAGGAGTACATAATTGGCGACTAATTAGGAAGGTTGTACTTGAGATATGGATCGGGTTATGGCAGCACCCAAAAGTTGGCTTGAGATACAAACCCGGTGGTAGCAGTACAACAAGTACTAGTTAGGAAGAAGTTACCGAACATGCAGGTGAGCGCATATGTGGGACATGCACCGCTCTGTTAAGTTTACTACAAGGATAAATGCCTTCTGTTGTTGGCTAAAGTCTTAGGGTCTTAAACGGTAAATTACTCTCCATATAGAGGTATATTAGGAGGAATCATGTGATGTCGGTTGAAGCCAGAGAGTTTAAATAGATAGCTTCCTAGTTAGGCTATAGGTATGACAGCTAGTGTAGAACCCTAGCATAGCACTAACGCTTCGGGCGGACTACTTAAATAGGCAATCAAAAGTTGTACATGTGACTAGTTGTACTCTCGTGATACTGATGTAATATGTAAAGCCGGTACTAAAATTAACATTGGCCTACCGCTTGTACTAATAAAGTGCCAAGGGCCTAAGTGGTCACCTTAATATTTATAAATAAAAAAAAATAAAAAAAAAATTTAATACTTATATATATATGTCAATTAGAAAAAATAAACTAAAAAAAAAAAATAGCAAAATAAATAAAAATTGTGTGTTCAATTAAAATATTTTGATACTAGAATGTTCAGGTCATAGGATTATAGGAGGTTAGTTGGTGATATAAAACCAAAATTGGCATATACTGTATGCAAATTATTTTAAAATTTTTTGCTTAATATAAAAAAGCCATAATATTATATAAAATATTTTAAAATATTTCAAAATATCTTATGTAATATTTTATAATTTTGATATTTTGCAATATTTTGAAATTTTTTATATAATATTATGGCTTTTTTACATTTCATAAATTATTATGAAATATTACGGTCTTATAAATTTGCTAATATAACAAAAAAATATATCAGTATCAAGATTTGCATAAATAGTGTAATTTGGAGTTTGTATAAAGTTAATTAAAAGGTTAAAATAGTAATTGCATAAACAATATAGTAATTAGTGATTAGTAATAATATTAGTTGCGAACAATGTAGTAATCATTAGCAATTAGTAATTAATAAATAAAGCATCAATCCAAAGGGAAATGCTGGGTTATATTTGCTTATTGTTTTTTTTTTAATATTAGAGTGTAGCGCCTGCCTTAAACTTTTATTAATACTTGTTGAGAATGATGCTAAAATCGGATAATGCTGAAATCCATGTGATATTCATATCATCAGATTTTCTAAAATTTCTGAATTTCATGTAGCCAATTCTGCAATCAATTTACACTAATCAAAACAATTGAATGCATATACATACTGTATTTAGTTATATTTAAATTTTAGATTACTGTATAGTATACCCAGATATTTTACACAGATATTTTTTTAAAGTAGAACTATAATTGAATAGAGACAAGAATTTCTTGTTAGTAAGTAAATGGTTTTATAGATGTTATATACAATTTTTTAAATTTGATTGTTGTATGTATATGGTCCCCTAACCCATAACAATTTTGAATATCATAATATCAACAATTTTATTATAATAAAAAAAAGGTTAAAATAAAAACCTTTTGTTTTTACTATAATCCCAGACTATTTTATTCTAATTGCGACCAAACTAACACATTTTATTCGATCTCAATTTAAAATTTTTTTTTTTTTAAAAAAAAAAAGAACGATCAAATTTAAATTTAAAAAAAAAAATTTAAATTTAAAAAAGTAAAAAGTTAAATTTAAAAAAAAAATTTAAAAAAATTGATCATGATTTCTTCTTTATTGTCTAGACCTGTTTAACAGAAATTCGAATATCTTCACCATCCACTTCAACAACTGCAGTGTGATTATTTGCCTTGAGAAACTTGAAGACACCTCATTGTGAAAAGTTCAGCTGCAGCTTCCTCTTATGAGTTTGCTAATTTATATCATAATCAAGCACAATAATGATTTTAGTTTTGGCTTTGATTGTATTGTTTGGCATTTTTTTTATATGCACACTATGTCAGCTTAAGTTTGTATGGTATTTTTCAAGTAAAGCATTTATGGATTGGTGAATTTCAAGTATATGAGAAATGTATTGTTCCATATCAGTTTTATTTGTTGTAGTTTCAGAAGAGGTAATCTCAGAGGTGGTGATCTCAGAGGTAGTGGTAATGGTTGTAGTTTCAATAGTGGTGGTGGTCTCAATAGTGGTAGTGGTGGTCTCAGAAGCGGCAGTAGTCTCAGAGACGGTGGTAGTCTCAGAGGTGATAGTGGTCTTAGAGGTGGTGGTGGTTCCAGAAAAACCTATCATAAATTAGAAAATTTCTGTTTAGTAATGAGTTTTAATTTAAGTTAATTACCTAAGGTGAATCCAAAGTTTGGGTAGATGATCGATGTCATTGCAGTATATAAGTTCTGTTCTCTATGAAACCTATATGCCACAGTGATATCAATTATCTACCCAAACTTTGGGTCCGCCCTGGGTAATCATTTGAGTTTTATATTAAAATGATATAAACCAGGTATATCATATATACAATACATTTTCTATCCAAAAATTGCTTTATGTGGTATGCAACTATGTGCTTTGTGAATAGTTGAATTATACTGTAACCGAAATATTTGGTTTAGGGTTGGGTTAGGTCTTTGTTAAAAGAAATATCAAGACGAAGAGGCTTTTATTTAGATAGTTTTAGGACATGATAGTGGATCATGTCTCTTTAAGAGACCAATTTACATCTCTTTTATAATTCTTCTATGAATAACTACTATTCTAAATAAATCTTTAAACTGTTTACTGGCCTTGTTATGCAAAATGATTTTATGCATAACAATTTATGTATAATAATCATATGTGTAATGAATTATGCATAATGAATTTATGAATAACAAAATAATAAATAGTAAATAAATAAATAAAAAAATAAAGAAAAATCTATACTAAGAAAAATAACAGTAGTGGCCATATGTAGTACGCGGGATCACGTGACTACTGCAATGTTATATGTGAAAATACCACTCTGTTACAAACATATCTATTACATTAATCTAGTCTTTTCTCTGTAACTGGTTATTTTGATCTCAAAGCAACTTTGTAAAACTGTGGCCCACAGTCTGGTTGAGTTGCTCAACTTGACCTTGCGACTATGGATAGTGAGGCCTACTATGCCTAATTGTAATATTGAAGGCTCAACAAATATCAGTAACAATTTTTGCAACAAACTTCTTATCATTGTTGCTTTGAAGAATTATAGATAGTCCAAGAATTTTAAAAATGTCCTTTATAAGATGCCTAGCAACTGTACTTGCTTTCTTATTTTTCAAAAAAACTGCAATCAAAAATTTGAAAAACATGCAGATGCAGA